ACGGCCGAATGTCTAAGGGCTTTCAAGTCTTATTGATAAGCGCTATAAATAGCATGTATCCAATCGAACCGTGTTCAATCGTGTGCAAAGTAACGACAAAAGTAACTGTAAATTTCGTTACCGTTACCCAAAAAATATAACTCGTTACCGTTACAGTTACCAAAAAAAGAAAGTAACGCAGATACCAGTAAAGTTACCAAAAAAGTAACTTGTAACTGTAACTTCGTTACAGTTACTTCCATTCTCTGTTCATATCATACATGTATAGCAGAAATAATACGTTAATTTTGAAACTTTTTTTGTTAATAACTTTTTAACGAGTTAGGTCCGACGGTTAAAACTTCCTCAAGATCACTCAGGATCATGACCTTGACAACATATGTCAAGGTCAAGGTCATTGGAAGAGGCTCCCCTAATCTACATTTTTACCAAGAAATTAATATAATAAAAATATAAATTTTTTAATAAGGCTCAATAAATTTAAAAACAATTAAGAAACAGGGCTACGAGCCAAAAATTCGTTAGAAATATTAACAGTAAATAAATAACTTCATTTATATTAAAATATAAAGTTTAATAAAAATTAAAGAACAAAAATTAAAAACAGAGATTTAAAAACAAACGTTTCGACCTCTTTTAGGTCATTATTAATGTTAAATCGCATGATATTACAATTATGTAAGAAATTATGATATCATATGTAAGAAATTATGATATAATAATATAAAAAACACAATTATATAAAAAAATATAAACAAATATATAAAAATTAGAAGCGTATTCACTCTCGCATAATAGAAATTTCGGATAATTGAACAGGAAAAACCATAAACCGATGTAATTCGTCTGATAGTAAATGTTATTCGTAAAATCTTTGAAACTTATTCTCAGATTATTAATTCTCTCTCTCTCTCTTAACTTCCCTTACCTCTTACTTTATCCCCACTTTTGTTACATTTTTAACCTTTCCTGATCCTTTTTCTCTTTTATTTCCTTTATTGTTTCGTACTTGAAATGTCTGTCATTCGAATTTTGAAACTTATAACTGTAACATCTTTAACTTGCTCTCATCGCATTGTCTAACAACAACAAAATATGACAATTGTACTTCGATACGATTACATAAGGTAATTTATTGTTTAATTTAATTAATACTGAATTAACAAAAATTAATACGGTGTATTATATGTTTATTTTTACATTATATTAATTTCATTTGATTACCTTAAGATTTGACTTTCTTTACATTATTTTTATTTTAGTATTGGACTTTTTATAATATTAGTTTATATTTTGATTCTTTTTACATTATTATTTTATTATTTGACTTACTTTTATTACATTACCTATGTATTTTTCGACAGAAATTATTACCAAAGATTTTACGAATAACATTTACTATCAGACGAATTACATCGGTTTATGGTTTTTCCTGTTCAATTATCCGAAATTTCTATTATGCGAGAGTGAATACGCTTCTAATTTTTATATATTTGTTTATATTTTTTTATATAATTGCGTTTTTTATATTATTAATCATAATTTCTTACATATTATAATATCATAATTTCTTACATAATTGTAATATCATGCGATTTAATATTGATAATGACCTAAAAGAGGTCGAAACGTTTGTTTTTAAATTTCTGTTAAGGCTCCTGAATACCAGCGACGGCCATGTTGGAATTGTGACGTCATAGGCGAGAAAAACACATTAATTTTTCTTGCGTCCCATTTTTTAATAAAGACAATTTGGATAAATTTAAAAGGCGAGATCGCTCAAAAACACTTGTGAAAATTGGCGGAAACTGTCCTTTCCTCCTCTGATAGTCAGTAAATGGTCGTAAAAGGCACGTAAAGTGAGCCTATACTCGGGCAGAATCACACATTTTGACAGCTGATGAAACGAGTGAAATATACGATTTTACGTATAAAATTTCACGATAACTGCAGTTTCCGCCAATTTTTAGGACTTTCACGAGTACGAGGGAAGTCACATTTTCACAAATAAGCAAATATTGACAAAATGGCACGCAAGAAAAAATTTGTCGTCAAAACATCACTTTTTCACGCCTATTAGTTCAGACTTTTACCATGGCGAGGCGCTATATACACACACAAGCATGAACCCATGTCTGTGCGCTCCCCTTCTACCCGAAAATGAGCACACGGACATGAGCTTGCAATTGTGTGTATAACCAGTAGCGTACTACCAGTTTTGCTAGCCACCGACTGATTCGGTGTCGCTACCCATCAACACGGAGTTCTTGGCTGAGTATTCAGGAGCCTTAATTTTTGTTCTTTAATTTTTATTAAACTTTATATTTTAATATAAATGAAGTTATTTATTTACTGTTAATATTTCTAACGAATTTTTGACTCGTAGCCCTGTTTCTTAATTGTTTTTTAATATAATAAAATTTTGGATATGTTCTAAAATCTAAATAGTTTTTTTTTATTGTCACTTCCGTTATTATTAAGACTGAAACCCTGAAATCATGAGAAAAAAATAAATTTTTAACTTTTATAATAACTTATCAAAATTACATTTTTTTTATTAAATTAACTTTTAATTCAATTAATTTCATTATACATTAACTTATCTTAACTAAGTTAAATTTTCGAGGTTGTTAACTTTAACTTAATTTAAAAAAAAAAGTAACTTACCCAACCCTGATAATTACATTCTTCATACAATTAATTTCATACAATTTCAATATTCAAATGTTTCGACTTGTGTTTCGAAGCAACTTCAACAATATAACAAGAAAGAAGGAAGCACAAAGCTAAGCCTATCTCGGTCAAAGCTAGATCTCGATGCTTATTATCATTGTGTGTGAATTTTATATACCGCGTATGTAGTTCCTCTAATTACGTGCCGAAAATTTTTTTTTTTTCAGACTTTACAACGCAACTCTAAATAACTACCGCGGTAATATCACTTTAGTTAAATTGACAATCAATTTAACAAATTTCGATGCTTATAGCATCTTATTAGATCTTAATAATATGTTGAAAGACATATATTAAAATTTAATATTAAAGTAATGATAATTTAAAATCTGTGAAAAATTAAGATTGCGAAGAATATCACAAGTTGGCGTTTCGTCCCGGCTTCCACTACTGGACTCATTAGTAAGGTAATGTAGTGGGAGCCTACCTTAGAGGTCGTCAGAGGTCTATTCAATTGATATTCGTTAAAATTTCTCGCAAGTGCTGAGATACACGTATGTCTCTTTATATAGAGTCTCGATTTAATAACTTACACCGGCGTCTAAGGTAGGCTACCACTACATTACCTTACTGATGAGTCCAGTAGTGGAAGCCGGGACGAAACGCCAACTTGTGATATTCTTCGCAATCTTAATTTTTCACAGATTTTAAATTATCATTACTTTAATATTAAATTTTAATATATGTCTTTCAACATATTATTAAGATCTAATAAGATGCTATAAGCATCGAAATTTGTTAGATTGATTGTCAATTTAACTAAAGTGATATTACCGCGGTAGTTATTTAGAGTTGCGTTGTAAAGTCTGAAAAAAAAAATTTTTCGGCACGCGATTAGAGGAACTACATACGCGGTATATAAAATTCACACACAATGATAATAAGCATCGAGATCTAGCTTTGACCGAGATAGGCTTAGCTTTGTGCTTCCTTCTTTCTTGTTAATTGGTTAACAATTATATGGTCGTATAAATATAAAATTAAGATTCTATTATTTGTTCAACAATATATAGTAAAAAAAATAAAAAACTTACCTTGATTGCCAGTAGTCATTTGGTTCAGAGCTACCATCGCGGAACTTGGTGGTTGCCCACCCCTTTCTAACATAGTTAGTAAATCATAAGGCGAGGAACACATATTTGTTAATGTTCTCACTTCCTTCGCGATCATTCTAAGTTTTTCGAAATTCACTAGACCTTCTACTCTTGAATCATTACCAAGATGTATAAAAGTCAAGTCTTTTTTCACGACTGGATAGAAAGGTATCTAAAATAATCATTGAACTCTCGTTAATTATATGATAATTTAAAGTCAATATAATACACAAACTTGGATCATAAAAATAGATAGTAAATAAAAAAAATTGTAATATATAAGGTAATTTTATTACAAAAAAATAACTCACTATAGGTGGTTGCGTTTGTTCAGACGCCACCAATTGTCGATATTTACTCATATTACGGCTAGGATCCATTAATTCTTGTAAATCGCTGAACAATCTTTGATATTTGGTTGGCAGTTTTTCCCATGAAGCTCTTAATCTCGATACTGAGCCATGACCCAAACCGGATACGATCGCGAACATTGAATTGAAATTCTTGCACTCCTTGCATTGACCTATAAAGAAAAACATTGCCAATTTAATATATATATATCCACATATGCGCGCGTGTGAGAGAAAAATACGAAAAAAGGTTCCAAATACTTACGCGCTATTTTAATAAATTGCTTTATAATCTTACTGCGCCGTACGAGATTATGTTCCGAACAAACTTCCGTTACAACCCAGAACATCTCTCTGTTGACTAGTTCTGCAAACTGACTGAGCATGGGCACACCATACCTACTCTTCAATTCAAACAGGTCATCCACATACTCCGTGGACTCGATTTGTCTGTAAGAAAGTATTTTTAATTTTTTTATAAAATATATAACAAATGCAAATTATAATTACAATTTCCAAAACAATACAATTAAAAAAGGGGCAAAGAGCCAAAGATATAACAAACAAAAACTTAAATTCAAATAATAATAATAAATATAGCTACAAAAGAAGTACTTCAAACATTTTTGACTCCGATCGGGTCATTCTTAATGTCGCGCGCTTGGCTTAGCGCCGAGACACTACCATGTCTCCAGATGTTACAGTAGAGACGCAATTAAAATTGTTATTATCTATGAGGTAAACAATACAGAATTCATTATTCTTCAAAAATTATTTCATTCGTGTTCTTCGTGTTTTGAGTCAGTTAATTAAAAAGTCGAATTGTGTATAAAATTTGGCATTCTACAAATAATCGTGAGCAAAAAAATTAATAAAAATTAACAAATTATATAAAAACATATGATAGTGTACCTTGTCATTAATATATGTTGGTAATCCGTTAAAGAAATAAAAATGTGTATAAAAATAGTCCATCAGATAGAAATATTAAAATAGAAGCGAATTTGCAGAAGTATACGAACGACTAATCTCAACTACGTCAGATAACGCAATGTCAAAAAGGAAAACACATACTAGTCACGGGGAATGTAGGAAAGATGGGAAAAGGATAATTTACAAATTTTATATATTTCATGAAATATTAAATTACCTGAATATACTGAAGTCTTGCAAAGTCAGTTGTATTGCTACTTCCACAGCATTTAATTGCAGAAAGTGTACTTGAGACTCTCGAATGAGTTCCGGAGCTTGATCGTCAGCTACTAAAGTTTCGGAAATTCCGTTAGTTTTCAAGTAGTATCGAGAGCTTAATCCGATCCGTTCAGCAAGATTCTGTAATTGATCTGGTAATCTACGCTGTTTAATCATGCCACCTTCGCCGACGCTTACTTCCGCCAAAGAGAAATTTGAACTACTTTCTGTTATACCAAATTCTTGAAGTGCAAGCATTACTACCTACAATTAATGCATCGTTATATACATATGTGGGTGAGTGGGTGGGTGTGTGTAGTACAAATTTATTTACCTCATGCGCCGTTGTTTCTTTGTGAATAAGAAGATACTTGCAGGTTTGATCAGCTTTATATACTTTGAGCACATGTTCAGGATAATCGTTTGCCCTCAAGTCGTCGTAACAATAAAGTGACGTAAGATCTGGATTACTCTTCGAATGATATAGATTAGTAGTAGTTTGCGTAAGCCCTGTTCCCGGTGGTGTGTGTGGTGGAGCAAGAGGATCATCCAAATGTACACCGTCGCTATTAAAATTCAAAAATATTTTATGCCAATAAAGGATTTATATAGATTTAATTATTATTTATGCACAATACTTAAATGCACTCACTTGATCGTATTCTTTGGCAGTATGTTCATTTTCATAAGTGCTTTCTGTAATCGCCGTTTAGGTCCAAGAGTCATAAATCCCTTGTGCTCTTTTTTAGAGTCTTTACACGGCGACACATTGTTGTCTGGGATTAATAATGGTACTCCGCCAATCATGGGATTTAAAGGATTTACAGGAGTCATGGGATCCACATGCGTTGATAGTCTAGCTCGTGGATCCGATTGAAGCCTCGGTATTTCCGGCTTACTTGTTCTACCTCGAGGTCTTGGGGAATTATCCGGCATTTGAAGCATTTCTTTGAAAGCTGTAAGATCAAATGATTGAAGACAAAGAAAGTATATTTTCCTATTTCTGATTTTTAAATTAAACTCACCAAGTAAATTAGATTTTACAGTTATACTGAGATGCGTAGAAGCTCTCAAAATATCAAGAGCTTTCGCATGATTTACATGCTCGAAACTTTGGCCATTTACTTCTAAGATCTGGTCGCCTCTCTTTAAACCAACATCTTCAGCCTTGGATCTCTTGTCAACTTTTGAGATAAATATACCAAAACCTCTCTCAAATCCTCCTAAAATGCTAAAATTTAGGACCTCGTCCCTGTTTGGCCTGGCTAACGTTACATTCCGCGTTCTCGCTTTCGCTGCACATGCAATGTTTAACAACCTGAAATTTCAGTTACAAGTAACAGTTATTTTTCTTATTATGTTTTAATATATTTCCTTTGAAAAAATAAATCAGAAAAACTTACCTTTGCTGTCCTAACATTTTCTCTCTTTCCAGTCCAGTTTCAAATGCTTCTAAAAATTCCATCATCGCTGGATCAGTCTCGAAATCGGTAAAATGATTGTTCACCCATAAGAGCACGACGCGAGCAACGCGATCTCGCACTTGGGCTTGATCAAACCACTCCAACAATTGACTTGCGACTAACAACGGACTATCAATAAACGTTCGATGAGTCAATAAAAAATCTTCCACATAAGTAGGATCTGTAATACTGTTTTCTTCAATGAGCTGTAACATCAAACGCTCTGGCGTTCCTCGAATCACCACGTGACCTCTTCGCGCTGCACCATCCAAAGCTCCCCGCAATTCAGTCACTAAAATTACCCTTCCATTCTCTTCATGTCTCCTGGTATTCTCTTCGCCTTGATGTTGTATTCGAAAATAATCTGCTTGCGTGACACAAACAAATTGGCAATCGTCGCACCTGCAAACAGAAAATCGGATTTTTTTTTTCTTATATCTTTCTAGATATCACGGCCTATTGGCAAAAGTAGAAAGGAATCATATTACAAACTTTGTTCTCATAACTCCACGATGTAACAGCCTCTCCATAGTCGGCAAAATACCAAAGCTATCACCGAGACCGAGTTGTTCAATCTCACTGTTGCTATGCTCAATCTCAACAGCACCGTTAATTAACACGCTCCAACTGTCGAGTTCCTCGCCGTCATTCAGGACCACCATTCCAGCACGATCGACTACCGCAAATACCATCACAGCGCACAGCGCTCTTCTAACAGCCAAAGTCATGTTTGTGAAGGCTTTCAATTGTTGCGTAAATTCTAAAAGTGTCTCTATGTCGTCTTCTGTTCTCTCAACAGGATCCTTCTCTAAACATTCTCGTACAGGATCACGTACCGTTAAACTCTAAAATATCACAACAACAAATATTAAAATAACTAATTCTAACATCTAATGGCATTTCTAGAAAACAACAACATAAATCACAATACTTACATCCATGCTTTCTGCCAGATCTTCCTCCTCATCGCTATCAACAATGGACTCCACAAGACCTGACAAATCCACTTCATCAGGATCTGCATCTAATGAACTTTGTACAGATGTCATAGTGTCGGATCCACTGTATGCTGAACTTGTGTCACTCGAATGACTGCTTCTGTTTGATTTCTGATAAAGTTCCGGCCTGCCTGTAAGGCCCTGTGAGAACTAAAAAAAAAATTTTTAACAGTTTATCTAGTTACTTAAAAATTTCTTAAAGATTCACAAAGATATTTTTTGCTAATTTTATCATAAAATCTACAAACCATCTCATACATTATTTATATAATTAAGGAATAGTATTTTATATCAAATTTTTTATAAAAATAAAAATTAACAAATTCCATCTATTTTCCACATTTTTTCAATACCAAATACTCTTATTATAAATTATATAAATCAATGTAAAACCTTGATGTAAGATATAATATATCTAAGAAATTCGCAATGAGATATAAATTCTAATCTATAATAAGATTAGAAATCTAATCTCTAATACCATAGGAAAGATTATACAAGTACATAATAGGTATTTAATTATTATTACATTCAAAGAGAGATATCGCGCGATTTGTATGATCATTTAAACATTATAAAACTACATTGATGTAAAATATAACGTAATAGCAATAATTTAACACATGTATTGCCATGCAACTTGACTCTCCTTCAAATTATCAACCCAACAACTGACAATAACAATAAAGTGATTCGAAAACTGTCGAAAATAAATTGTGAGTCACACGAAGGAAATCTAGGAAAACGATTTGTAATGCCGTTTCTGAGCATTGGAGACAACCTATATCCGCACAGCTGTAGGCGCGGAAGAAAAACATAAACGACGCCGTTCGCTAAAAGCGCAAAGCAGCGCAAAGTAGGAAATACCAGGAATGGGCGTGATGGGACAGGCTCCAGTTCGCGGTTAGGTTAGGTTAGGTCACAGAGCGACATGACATCACGCTCGCACGCATGTGTGGTACGCAGGCCGTGCGAGAGTCAGGGCGCGCGAGTGTATCTCGCGCGCGTTCACATACATGTTCGGCCACATACCAAATAAGATGACACCTACGAACGACGGAGCTGTTGTCATGTCATCGCGAAGGGCGGCCGAAGCGTACATCTCGCGTTTTCCGCGAGAAAAACTCACTTTCCCAACGGAGGAGAGGATAAGCGGCCGCGAGCGAGAGAAAAGGAGAGCCAAGGCCATTTTGAGAGGCATATCTCCGAGAGGAGACCTGAGAGAGCTGCGCGATCCACTCACTTGACACACGCCGTACGCGTCCATCGCGCCAGCGGAATCCGCAATTCTCGTTGTTGTTGTTGTTCTCGTCTTCCTCCTCGACGGAAACGATCACGACAACAGATCCAGCGAATCGTCCATGAAACAACGCGTCCGCATTTTTCCTAAACGCTTTATCCGTCCATCCGATGGTTTTTCTCTCTCACTGACGTGTGGCCGCCTGGTGCCGCCCGCTGTATGCGCGTCGAAGCGGACGGACGCGACTCGGAACGCGCCTCGGCGTCGTGACCCTCTTTGTACGTACAGAGCTTAGCTTAGTGTACGAAACTCGAGATGCATCCGTCCGTCGCGTCGTCCGTGTTGTCGTCGCCGTCGTCGCGACCAGTCGTCAGCTTAGCAGACATAGGACTACCTCGTCTCGTCCCGCCACCGCCTCCACCCGCACCCCGCAGTTCCGCACCACACCACGACGCGTCGTGCCGTGCCGCTGGCAATGCTGGCTAGCATTCCCTTCGGATCGCAGCGTATAGTATAGTCACGTGACGATTCGCCGTACCGACGAACGACATACCGTGCCGTAAGCGGCTCTTCAGGACCGTGTCAACTGGGAGAGTGCACCATGCCGCGCTGCACCGGCCGGAAAGGGAGAGGAGATTACCAGGGCCACCTGTAGCTTCTACGCGCGATTCCGCTTGTTTTTCTTTTTTTTTTCTTTTTTTTTTTTTTTTTTAGAAAATTCCATGTGAGTCTCTTTCCAAACCTTGACAATTCGGTATCAAATTGGAATCGAACTTTAGGTTTATGAGACACGCAAAAAATTGTATTTGCGAATTGTATTTGCTTTCCCTATTAGTACGATCATGTTATCATTTTAAATCAATGTTGCGCTTAGATAATTCAAAATTATCTAGATATAGATAAGATAAATGACACAAAAATGTATTTTAGATAAGATATGAAGATAATTCATTTTATATTAATCTAAATAAAAGATAAAATTAAAAAAAATTTTATCTAGATAATTTTGTTTTTAAGTAAATATTTGGTAGTAAAACAATTTAGGATACAAAAAATATATTCATTATTTTTATAAATATTTCATAAATATGTTATAAATCTTTATCTTTTTTAAATAAAAGTTTTTCGAATATATCATCTAATAAACGGTTCCTACATGGAATTAATATTTGTTATCCGCAACTAAAAAGACGTTCTACTGGCGCTGATGATAGCAATGATGTATTATATTTTTAAAAAATTTATTTAATGTGTGGATATAAATTCAGAATATCTAATTCTTTTGATTTGTTTTCTAAATATGAAAGTACTTCAATGTCGCTTTGAATGACTGGTGTCGAATGTGTTGTCTATATCACGAAAAAAATCTTCATCATTACTACTACTGGAGATTGATTGTTTACATAAAAATTTCTTACAATACTCTTCTACAATCTTAGATAAATTAAAAAAAATAACATTTTTTTTTAATCTAAGATAAGCTAAAGATAGCATATATTCTTAATAATCTAGATAAAGATAAGATAAAGCCATTTCTTCATCTAGATGATTATCTAGATAATTTTATCTACATAATGGAAAACACTGACTGCTATACTGCAGTGTACATGGCACGATCATCTAATTAATCCATAAAATAAAAAAAAACTAAAGAAAAATCATATAAAACAGAATTAATGCATTGAGAAATATTCTTTCATATCGACTGAGGGAATTCAATTAAATTTCATTTCCCACATAAAGTTGAAACGATAGCTGGAAGTTTAACGAAATTTTGTTGTCCATATTGCACGGGGATTAAATTAAATTTCGTTATACTGAACATACACACATATTTCTGGTAAATCCAGTAATATCACAGTAGCTCGTAAACGCAGCACAAATTTGCATCTTTATAATCTCGCGATATTTACAGGCAAATTATACAGCCGTTATATGAAGATGCATCCTACTTTTTTTGTTAACATAATATACAATATAAATTCATTCTATGGAACTGACCTCATTATATTGTAATACACGTACAACACAAATTTAAAATAAGGTGAAAATTACAAAATAATCGAAATAATTTACTAATGCCTGTAATTAGAGATGATACCGGAAAAAAAGAATAATATTAAGTGTAATTTGTGTACAACAAAGAAGAGAATTTAAATAATAATAACCATCTGATTCGTGAGAGGATTACTTGATGGGATTTGGAAGCGATTTGACGATGAAAGATTATGAATTACGAGTTTACTTTACATGGAAGAAGACTAAGGATTATGACGTATAAAACTCTCCCACGTTTGAATTTTGTAAAATTATTTATATCTATTATATGACAAACTAATGCAAAAATACATCTCATTAAACACTAACTTGTTTCTTATTACTTAATGTGAGTCTCAGACTTTAATAAACTCAAAAATTAAAGTAGTTTCGTAAAGTAACGTTTCAAGACCGAAAAATTGTTCGACGCGCGGTTTAAAAAGACTATACATACTTAATATATAAATTCACACGGAATTATAATAGCACCTAAGATCCAACTCAACCGTTAAAGGCAATTTCTCATTGGTTGTGTTTCTCACATGTCCCATAAGATTTAGTATTTAAATATTAAAAATTAAAATTGCAATCAATAAAACACCATTGCAGTGGTCTAAATCTCGTTGATAATGATCGTAGCATTTGAAAAAGAGAAATAGAAAATAAAAGATACGTAATTAAGGGGATGCTGGAATTACCGACGGAACACTCATTTCATATTTCTCGTGCCATTTCGTTTTCCTTATATAGAATAAAAAAATCCTTTTCCAGAATAAAAGGGAAAACACAAACAAGTCCGGAAAAGTCCAAACCGGTATGAGAGTCCCCCAAAAATTACCACGTAGGTATAATTTATAAGATTATCACGAGACCTTTAAATTATGATTTTGGAGCTTACAAAAGGAATGGCACGAGAAATACGATTTGAGCATACATAACCTCACATTTAAGCGATATATAAGATGTAGCAGAACAAGAAATGTACACAACGTTTTACTTAATGGCTTATTTAATGTACGTGATGTTTTACTTAGTATATGTAAATATTTTCTTGATGTATGTAATATTTTAATTGGAATTAAAAATCTGTTTTATCGACATTCGGCTGCCTCTCCAGCATCGCCTTAACATCACGATAATTACATCAGATGCAGATAGTAAATATTGAATAATGCTAAGATAAAAAATAACTGAGAATAAAAATACACTTGCTACGTAATGTAGCTTCCTTCGATTTGCATACCCACGCGAATGTCAGCACCCAACGTAACGTCATAAGAATATTATAAAACACGCTCGAGAAGCTGCAGATCGAGAAAGAACGCGCCGATGCTCTCGCGATTAATATTCATCAGCCTTCGCGATTAGTTAATCGCCATGCGGAACAATAAGCAAACAATGATGTAAATTGACGCCAATAATGACACTTGAATTGATCTTAAGAAGTCTCTATATAGAAAGTCACTGTAGGGCGATTGCCGTGTAAAATGCGCTTAAGGAGTCGACGGACGGTCGATCGCGAGCCGCAAAGGACAAAACAGAAAGAGAGATGAGACATGAGGCGGATGAGGATAGAGAAACGCTGCTGCTGGTCCGCTCAAAGCATCTCTATCCAGTAACCGCTCAAAGGCCACTGTCCGACCCGACGGATGATTTATACAACCCGTTATGTCGTTCGTACTCGTGTGTTTCACTTTTCCTTTTGTCTCGCGCCAACACACACTACTTTCCAAATTGTTTCTCCCTTCAACTTTTTACCCGCGGCGCGCCACGCCGGAAGAACGAATGCGCTGCAAGTGTATTCTGCTGCACACATTTGCAGCCAAATCGACGAAATCTTGATCATTAAATATTCATGAGTATCTCGTAACTATTTATACATAGACGAACTGGTATCGTCGTATCTTACATCATTCGGTATTGATTTTGATAATTTTATCATTCCTCAATCAGGAAAAGGGCGTGATCAACATAGAGTTAGAAAATAAAACAAGCTTTTATAAGTTTTCTCAGGTCACAAAAAATTATTAAAAATATTTAATTTACATACAATTTCTTATGGATAATTTTTATGAATTTAGAAGGTAGAATTTTATAGAATTTCTATAGATAAGACAAAGTATCTTACACATATCACAAATATTCCAATTATTTTTATTTAACAACATTTATAGGTGCTCAGAAACAAGAAAATAGAATATTTTTGCTAACAAAATTTCGAAACAAGAGAATAGAATATTTATTTTATCCAGATCTATGGAGTCAAAAAGATATGGTACAATAGATGCAATAATAGTTTATGAAAAAGAAGCCATACGCAATCATGACTGCCTAAGAGTATAATTTATGTAAAATCAACTAGATTTCCTTGAAGAAGAAGAAGAAGAAGAAGAAGGGTTTCCTCGTCTTCGAACTTCAATGCAAAGTCGAAAAACAACATTTACAAGACATTATTTGCTCAGATAAATAAGAGAAGAAACATTTATATAAAAATAATCATGACTATAAGATTTTAAATAAATAAGTAAAAAAAATCAGAGATATTTACCGTGTCATCGAAGACAAGATTGACCTGACGGTGGTCGGTTATGGGATGGGGATGCGGTGGTCGATGCATTCTCCCTCCACCGTGGACTTCTGGGTAGTCGATCTGCAAAAAATACAGTTTATAATAAATTGATAAATAAATTATAAATAAATTGTACAGCGCTTACAATTTATTAATGTTCAGTAAATAATTATGCGAATATTTATAATAAAGCATTTGAATAATCACTAAGGAATGATTGCCTGTCAGTTTGTAAGTGTAACTTGATATCGTTTGCTAACTTGGTTTGTTCTTCATATAACTGCGAGACTGATAAGTGTACGGCAATATATATACGAAAATATTTCGAAGATATTGTTAGTATTTTATAGATTTCATTAATATTCAACGTATAATATTGCTATATTTTTTATAAAAAGAGCTTCATCGCAAATTAATCAGAAAGAAGCTTTGAACAGAGATAATAACAACATTATGAAAGATGCTGTAAGTATATTCTGTTATTCCTTGCGAATTATGATCATAATGAAATCCCAATGGTCAATCCATTGAATATTGCTGCCTTATTTTTATGCTCTACGCAAAACATTAAAAAGAACTCACGTCATCCCCTATGGCCTATATAACATGAAGATCGATTTAAATAGAATGTCGCGTCACTACTTTTAAAAAATGTTAAAAACACAAATTTTTTCCTGATGTAATTTGAAGTTTTATTACAAAAACATTAAGAATCATCGTTTGTCGTGATTTTTGCATCCATTCTTAATTAAGATATTTCCATAATTAAATAATAAATTAAAATGTTAAAATAAGAATTGGATTCTGGAAATTTAAATAAAATTAATTCAAGGGAGGGGGAGAAAATTAACTAATACTTTATAATTAAAACTAATGTTTAACTAATACTAATGTTTTATAAATATAGATCTTGCTAAATTACATTAAGATACCTATACTAAAAACGGCTCTTTATAATGAGAACAAACTAAAAAATTTAATTTTTTGTGAATTATTGAATACTACACAAATTGGATTAAAAAATGGTTTTATTAATCTATTTGTGTATCCCTAAATTTACTTTATTAAAAGACTTAATTATCTAATTATGTATTTCGAAATTACTGATATACGCATATATTATAGTTGTGCACAGGGTGTTTGAGAAGTAATGAAAAATTTTGTCGCATAGGGATAGAATGGACTAAACTGAGAAAAAAAGTCCTCTACCATTTTACAATTTTTGCAATAGTTAACGAGATATTCATTTATAAAAATTACGTCCAGAAAAAACGTTTAAAAAAATGAGATGCTAACTTTCCGTCTTACCATTCAGCATTTCACTGAATTTCGAACGTACGAGACGTAAAGTACAAGAATCCAAACAGTTCTATCGTTAAAACTTAATACATCAATATAGTTCTGGCTATAAAACCAAAGAAATTGCCCGAAAACGGTATATATTAACACGTACAAGTGATATGCTGGCCGATTCGTATAAGAGTTCTGATTATTTTATTACATTTCTAATCTAGTTCTGACATTGTTTGAGCGTTTTCTAAAGAATTCTGGCGATAAACATTGCTAGAAATTTTTTAAACAATTTTTATATCCTGTAAACGGCGTATATTAACACTTAAAATTGTTTAAAAAATTTCTAGCAATGTTTATCGCCAGAACTTTTTAGAAAATCCTCAAACGATGTCAGAAATACATTACAACTGTAATAAAACAATCAGAACTAACATCAAACGGATATCATATCACTTGTACATGATAATATTCACCGTTTTCGGGAAATTTCTTTGATTTTATAGCCAGAACTATTAATATATTAAGTTTTAACGATAGAACTGTTTGGATTCTTGCACTTTACACCTCGTACGTTTAAAATCCGATGAGATGCTGGATGATAAGACGGGAAGTTAGCATCTCATTTTTTAAATCGTTTTTTCTGAACGTAATTCGACAAAACTATATATTGATAAAATCGATATAGAACTGTAAAACTATCGTGGATGCGAGCAGAACTGGTGTCATTTCATGCGATGCTGATATATGATATGCCAGCTTCACAGACGTGGTGAGCCGGGCGAATTTGGATATTTTTATAAATTAACTATTGCGAAAATAGTAAAATGGTAGAGGATCTTTCTTCTCAGTTTAGTCCATTCTACTTCTACGACAAAATTTTTCATTACTTCTCAAACACTCTATACGCACACACACACACACACGCACGCACGCACGCACGCACGCACGCACGCACGCAC